CGGGGGTACACAGCTTTGAGCCCAGCATTCAGGAGGCAGAGGCAGGTATATCTCTAAGTTCAAGGCCAGCCTGGTCTCCATCGTGAACTCCAGATCAGCCAGGGTTACATAGTGAGGTCTATGTATTTGAAACAAACAGCATTTGTGAAACAAACAGCATTTGTGAAATCATACCCGACAACCTGTGAAATCCCGAGAACCGACTCCCCAGTTGTCCTCCTGACCTCCACACATGTGCTGTGGTATGCGTGTGCCTGCATTCTTACACACATCACACACATACACACACAATCATAATAATAAATAAAACAGAAAGAAAAACCTTGCGCTCAGGTTTTGTATGAACCTGCCTCTTTTATTTATTTTCTATGTTGTGGTGCTGGGGGAGACCCTGGCCCGTGTTTTTACTTCCCAGCCCAAACCTGCCTCATTTAATCTTGACAAGATCTGTATGAGTTAAACATTAAAATGGGGAAGCGGAGGCTGAGAGGGCCTATGAAGCTTGCCTCAGGTTGTAGAGAGAGGGCTGGAACCCAAGCTTGTCTCCTGGTCTATACCGTACCACCATTTCTTCTAATTTTTAAAAATTTCCTGACACTTTTCCAATTCAGCCTGCTTTTGATTTAATTCAGCCCAAGGGACAGCAGGGAGAGACTGCTGGTCCTATTAATGATGAGGAGACGGGGTGCAGCGGCGGGATGGGGGGCTGAGGTCAGCTGAGCTGCATGGGCTCTTGCCCACCTCTAACCAGCTCACCAGCCAGCAAGGTGGGCACTGGTGGTTTCTAGACCATGGCAGTGCCCCCTGGCCACCCTAGTTCCCCAGCTCCTCCTCGTCGTCTTCCCTTCTGGTCCTCCTCAATCAAGACCCTGTGTTTGCCCTACCTGTGGGGATCCAGTGCCCAGCATGTTGCCCCTAACCACAATCCCAGCTCTTTGAGTAGGACAGTCTGTGAAGCGGGTGGGGAGCTATAAAGTCTTTTAAAAGGAGCAATAAAAGTTTTGGGTTTCAGATCTCTTCCTGGAGAGGAGAGCAAGAGACAGGAAATTTCAGTAGCAGACCCGACAGAGGCAGGCGGGCGGCATGCAGACTGCCTCAGACGAAAACACCTCCAAGTGCAGGTCCTGGCAGGAGCCCAGGAGCTCTCCTGCGCCCCAACTGCCTCTCCCCTGCTGGGGGGAGGCCAGGCCTCTGCCACAATGGACTGTTGTGTCTACACTGTTGTAAATGTTTATACTATCCCTCTCTATTTGCACTGCTGCCCTGTAGGCTACACCTACCCCCTAAGTGGGCTCCCCAGAGGGGATGTGCCAGGAGGGGGGGTTGTGCCCCAAGGGTTGTGGATGTGTGCACACTTCTGGTTGGGGCTAGGCCCAAAGTGCATTTGCCCTGGACACTGAGATGGGTGTGGCCATGCCCCAGCCCAGGATGACTATGGTGAGTCTACAGCCCACTCATCTTCCCAGTTTTAGAAGGGACAGGCTGGGAGGAGGGCCACAGCCTCCACCCACGTCCTGGCAAGAAAGCCCCAGCCAGAGCTGGGGATGGCCGCCTCCCCAGGATTTCTTAGGCCTGGACATTCAGGGAACTTAGAAACAGGGTTTCAGATAAAACACAAGACCAAGATGAGCTTTAGCTATGCATTGGATCATGTTTTACTTTGGGGTATGTTTCCTGAAGCATATCGCAGATAGGGACGTGCACAGGCGTGAAGGGCAGATGCAGGCCTTAACTCAGGACAGGCCACCAGGTAAGAGAGCCTGGTAGCCTGGTGAGGCCAACCTGGTCTACATAGTAAACTCTAGGCCAGCAAAGCTGTATCCCATGTGCTGTCTTACCAGCCTCAGTGGTCCATTGTTAGTACAGGCCTAGTGTTCACTCGTGGACCAAATCCAGCAGCTTTCTGTACATAAGAAAGATATTTTTAAAGCCACATGCACAACCAGGGTCCTGCTTTGACCGGTTCCTACCTGCTCCTGGAGGAGAATGAAATCTTTGCTTGGGGCGGGGCACTTAACCTCTCTCAGTGCTGTCTTGCCCCCGTTTTGCTCTTTGGTTTGTGTCCTGTGACTCAGTTTCACGTCCACCGGCACCGAAGGAGATCCCAGATCATAGCCTTGATTGTGCTCGTTGCACACGTGTGCTGTCTAACCCTTTACCTCGCATCCGGAGTGCAGACACACCCTGGCACCTGCAATCCTGCACATGGCTATTTCAGCTTAAATTATCTGAAGTTGCTCCCCGTTTACAGATCTGACTCTGCTCACCAGCCATGGTGCAAACGCTCAGCTGCCCCATGAGGGGCAGTTGGCTGCAGCACAGACCATCGCCATGCCTCTGCATGCACGCTGCGGGTTCCCACAGGCAGTGTGGCTCTCCAACTTCTAGGAGCACCCAGAGTGTCTTTTCTAAGCACTCTATGGAAGGGAGGTGTGGGGATGCATGCTTCTGGGTTCCTCCATCAAGTGTGATAGGAAAAGACACTCTGTCCAGAGCCATAAGAGGCTGGATGACCTTGGAGGCCCTCTCTGTCTCCACAAGCCACAATTCTCAGACTCCAGAGACATAGAGACTCTGGGGCTGCACAGCACAAAGGTTCAGAGGCACTGGCACCTCAAGGCCCTGCTGGCTCTCCTTTGCTACCTTTAAAGAGTCAGTGGGAGCTGCCTTGGGGAGCTGGGTGGCTCTCTTTTCCTGTTTTCCTTTCCTGGCCCTGCTTATGCTCCCAAGATGTCAAAGTGGACCTTGCTACATAAGGTCACAGGAGGAACGCACAGCTGGTGTGACTTGGGAAGCCTTGGACACCCTTGTCAGGTCATCAGCCGCCATCCGTGCGGCCAGCATCTCTGACCCTTAGTGTCCTCATCTGAAAACTGAGCTCAGGACTGTGCCCGGACCCCTGAGGGGCAGTTGTGGGACCCAGATGCTTGGGAGGGGGAGGCTAAGTCTGGAACTTCAGAGGCCAACCACGGGCAGGGTGACAGGGCTGAAAGCTAGAGAGCGCTTCCTAATCGTCCGTGACTTACAGACTTGGCTGGGTGCCCAGAAGGCCCTCATAAATCAGCACTGTCACTGGGGAAAGCCTGTCAGTGTGGCCCTCGTGGTTGGGCCACCCGTGGCCCTTTCCTGCTCAGGAGCATCCTGCTGCCTCCAATTTTCCAAGAGTTGTGGCAAAGCCAGAGGCAGGTGGGGTGAGACAGTGAGGGAGGGCAGAGAAGTGATGGGCTGGGGGATGCCCTACAGATACCTGCTTCTGGAGGGGCCAGGTGCCCCATCTGGCTTGTTCCCATCTCTGTCTCTCACTTGGGATGCCCAGTTCTGAGTAATCTGGCCTCTGGAAGTGAGAGATGCTCCATTGGGAAGACTGGGATCCAGAACACCCGTCATCCGTGTGTGTGTGTGTGTGTGTGTGTGTGTGTGTGCATAATGTGTGTACATGTGCATGTAGTCACACGCAAGTGTGCTGACATCTGTGTGGTGTGTGTCTCTGTGTGACTGGTACAGCTGAGGGCCATAGCAGTGAGATGGAGGATGCTCCATATCTTAGTTCCTACTCTGCTCCTTTTCTGAGTGGCCATGGGGTCCCCAGAGACCATGGGGTCCCTAGATCATGGTGTCTTGGCTTCCTCACCTGGTAAGTGAGGCCTCGCCCCTAGGAGCCAGGTTTGGACATTTCAAGGTGATACCTTGGGTTACTCTATCATTAAAGGGTGCTGGGGCCGGAAAAGGGATGAGACTTGTGGGTGACTTATGCCTGCCACCCGGGCTGGAAGGGAGGGGGCAGGCAAGCACGCCCAAGACCCAGGCATTGTGTGTCATCATGGAGGTCAGCCCACCAGCCAGGCTGAGGGGTTAGCTGGGAACAGAGGAGGGTTGAGAGGGCTACGGAGCACCCAACCAAGGGTGGGACGGCTCCCTTGGGAAGCACAGGAGGTAACTTTAGGACAAATTACCAGCCGCCCCACTGGGTGGGGACTGGATGTGGGTAACTGCTCCCTTGCAGAGGCACCATCTGGAAACAAAAATAAGTCCCAGACAGGTGTAGGTAACTTCCCGCTGTCAGGCAGGCCTTGGGTCACTGGGGAGGGGGTGGCTGGGGTGCTGGTGAGGCTCAGGCTTGTGAGGTGATGTCTGGAAGCTGTGGCTGCAGTGGCCACACCCTGCCCCCCAGGCTGTCACAGACAAGACTGCCTGTGGCATGGCAGAGTCCCAGCCAGTCCTGGCCTAAGCGTACCGCACCCACCTTTCCTGAGGGGGTGAGGGTAGTGCCCAGGGTAGGCTTCAGGCCTGTGTAGGCATTCGGCCTCCAACCCAGGTACCTAGGCCAGCAGCAGCCACCAGCTCCTGGCCTTGAGCTGGCTGCTTACCCTGAACTCGGGCACTCCTCCAGGATGGTAACTGTAACACTTGGCACACAGATTTGTTCTAGGATGTGTGTAAGGTGTTGCATGAAGTTGATGAATCCTGATACTCCTGATCAGTTGTTCCTGAGAATGGCTGGATATAGAACCCAGCTACAGAGATGGGGCTAAGGCAGGTGCATGCTTGGGTCCAGGTCAGAACTCTCTCCAGTGACCCCACCTTCTTAAATGGGGGCCTTCAGAGCTTGGACAGGGGACAGAAACAACAATACCAGTGTCTAAGAGAAAACAGACAACCTTGACAGGCAGGAACTCAGGAGTGGCCCTTGTCATGTCTGGTCCTGGGCTGAGACTTCTGTGCCCAGCAGACACACTGGTCTAGGGCTCCCCCAGGTATACCTGTGGTTATGAGGACTTGGAAGAGAAAATTCTTTCTGGTACAGAGCAGAGCATCTGGTGAACATGGAACTAGTAGGTTCCTAAGAAGCCTTTAGCAGTGTGCAACCAGCCTGCTAGTCTCAGAGTGCAGAGGAGAACGTATCTTCTTGATTCAGCATGTGGGGTAGGATAGGAAGCATCTTGGGAGAGATGGTGGGGCTTCCAGATAGGAGGACAGGGGCCTGGAGCTGAGGGCCACGGTCAAATACATGTGCAGCACAGGGTGGAGACGTTCAGCTTGGCTGGGGCCCCTGCATTTCCAGCCTTCTTGTTGACCTTGGGCAGCAGCAGGACAAAAGACATGGCCAGGGCACAGTGGTAGAAGCTGTGGACGTAGGTGTAATCCCATTCCTGTGGAGGGGAGTGAGTCAGTCTGTGGCCTCAGCCCCTTCCCAGAACTGCATCCCTCTGCCCTTGCCTCTGCCATCCCAGCTGATGAGAATTCAGCAGGAAGGCTCCTTGCCATCCTCTGCCCCCCTCCACCCCTCCCCTAAGTTCTGGGGACCAGACCCTGGCCACTTTAAGGATGTGTATATTATTTTGCATGCAGGGTTCCCTGACCTTAACTCTGTGTGACCTTCAGGTCTACACAGGCTATGATGTGGTGCCACCAGGGCTGGACAGCACCACCTCCATCTCCTTCCGTAACAGTGTGGCATGTGACTTAGAACCTCCCTATGAAAACACAGCCTGCCATCTTCCCCGCTAAGCTGGGCCATGTATAGAGGGCCCTGGGAGGCCCAGTCCCCTCCCTACAGCGTACCTCAAAGAAGAAGCGTAACATCAGGGCCAGTGCCCCAAAGCAGAGGCCGGGGCCTATCTGCTGAGTGTAGACGCTCTTGTCAGGGTACAGACCCTTCTTCTCCTTCATCTTCTGCAACTGTGGGAGCAGGGTGGGAACAGAAAAGCTCTTGGGGTACAGCATAGGGAAGGGTCCTCCATGATTTGACTGGGCACTGCCCATAGTGCCAGCCCCTGTCACCTTCAGACTGGAAAAGAGCCCCCCACCCCACACCCCTGTGCATACCTGAGCGGCTCGGCCAGTTCCCCAGGGCTTGGTCTCCTGAAGTAGGATTGGGACATCCCTGCCTGGCTGATGGGGCCAGGAAGTCCTGGGCCAATTTGCCCCAGGTTCTCACTGCTTGACTCTCTGGGAAGTAACCAGGCCACCTTTGCACTCCTGTCTCCCAGAGAGGGAAGCCGGGGGGATTATTAATACTGAAAGGATATTAATTCATTTTGGACCCATCAGTCTCTGTGCTCCTCCTGGGGCAGCTTGTGTGGTGGTCTGAGAGACTTCCATCTGGCACATGGAAAGGGTCAGCTTTACCAGCTAAGGGGCCATCAGGATGCTGTTAGACACATCTATAGGCAGTTAACCCCAATTTGTCAGGCCCCAATGCCTCAAGTAAAGGCTCTGGTGTGTGTTTGCACCTGGTAAGATGAGGTAACACCCAGAAGAGATGGGGTGCCCATGGATTCTTGGATGGAATGCAGACCCTTGGGACCGGAAGGTATTTTAGACTCAGGATGGCTCAGGTTTCAGCAGATAAGACTGACATACACATGCCAGGTCCCTTGCCACAGACATTGCTGGGAGAGGTATAGGCTGTTAACAGCCTTGTGCTGGTTAGGGCAGGATTTGCCATTGATAGCATGGTGCTGTTTCTAGTGCTCTGGAACTTTCTGTTGCCAACAGCATTGAAGTCCTGGTAAAAAGTGTTGGTGCTGTGGGTACAGCTAGCCTACAGGACCCCGGGTGCAGGTGTTAGTAATCTGGGAAATCTTTGTGTGGCCAATTCCGCAATGGCAACGCTGGGTCTCCAGCAGGGGAAGGAGCACCCACGATCACCCGTGTTCCTGGCCCTGCCCCAGGGGCTCTTGTTTTCCAACTCGCTCAGGTCAGTCCCCCCAAACATTGTTTCTACCCTTTTCCCCCTAAAAGGTGAGACCCTGGAGAGAAGCAACCCCAGGAAGCAACCCCAAGCTCCCTGTACATCTGGTAGTCTAGGAGATGCGATCTGGATCCCAGATAAGGGTGGCTGCAGTCCTTCCCCCTCCCATTCCCGTCCACCTCCTGGTATTTAGTGGGGGCACTGACACATGCATGCTGTCCTGGTTAATTAAAATCCAGGCAGATCCAGATCCTGCCAAAAGTAGTAGAGGGGCCACAGTGAGTAGGACAAGGAGGAGCTTATCAGAAGGAGCTTCTGTACTTTGTGCGTTCCAGTGTGTTAATTAACTGCAGGATCCCAACGCCTCTGCCATAAGGAAGCTCTGACCTCTGGAGTCAGCCAGGGCCAGTGTCACCTCCCAAAGTTGGAGGGAGACAGAAACTCCTCATCGCCTTCTGAAAAGCCAAGCTGAGCTGACACTGCCATACTGGGCTCTGAGTTTGGCTGCTGACCTCAGTGCAACTCAGTTTCATCCTTAACTAAAAGACAAAATAATTCCGGGCTCTGCCCAGAGGAGCTGGACGTGGCTCTGAAGCTCCCCCTCCCCCTCCCCCAGGACTTTGCCTGTCCTTCCATTGCTGTGGTTGGGTGGGTGGTCCCTGTTGCACTGCCCACCCTGCCCAGCTAGGACCCTACTCGGGAACACCAAGGTTCCAGGTGATGCTGCACAGGAGAAAAAACACAGCAGAGGGATGTGACCCTGGGACCTAGGCTGCTGCCTACCCTGGCCGGAAGTCTGCTGGACTTCCAGGTCTGTGTTCTGGTCTCAATTACTCTGGGTGGGTCCCTGGGGATTCCCTTGGGGCTAGCCTGCCATTGGGACCACGCTTGTTCATGCTGGCCAGCTTAAGTGGACTCTAGGCTTTGCAGGTTGGAGGGGCTTGGGTAGAGGGGCAGGGTGGATACCAGACATGGAGTGCTCCTCCTGGGGTTGTCCTATTGAAACTCTGTTTCATACCCACCCTGAACCTGCCTTCCTCATGAGAATCAAGCCCAAGGCCGGCTTCCTTCAGACAGGCTCCTCAGATTAACCAGGTGCTACATCAGTAAGCAGCCATTCTCTCTCATGATGATGGTGATGGTGATGATGGTGATGGTGATGATGGTGGTGATGGTGGTGATGATGATGGTGATGGTGATGATAATGATGTGATGGTGATGATGGGGGTGATGATGGTGGTGATGATGATGATGGTGGTGATGATGGTGGTGATGGTGGTGATGATGATGGTGATGGTGATGATAATGATGTGATGGTGATGATGGGGGTGATGATGGTGGTGATGATGATGATGGTGGTGATGATGGTGGTGATGGTGGTGATGATGATGGTGATGGTGATGATAATGATGTGATGGTGATGATGGTGGTGATGATGGTGGTGATGATGATGATGGTGGTGATGATGGTGGTGATGGTGATGATGATGGTGATGGTGATGATGGTGATGATAATGATGGTGATGATGGTGATGATGGTGATGATGATGGTGGTGATGGTGATGATAATTATGTGATGGTGATGATGGTGGTGATGATGGTGATGATGATGATGGTGGTGATGATGGTGGTGATGATGATGATGGTGGTGATGATGGTGGTGATGATGATGATGGTGGTGATGATGGTGGTGATGATGATGATGGTGGTGATGATGGTGGTGATGATGATGATGGTGGTGATGATGGTGGTGATGATGATGATGGTGGTGATGATGGTGGTGATGATGATGATGGTGGTGATGATGGTGGTGATGATGATGATGGTGGTGATGATGGTGGTGATGATGATGATGGTGGTGATGATGGTGGTGATGATGATGATGGTGGTGATGATGGTGGTGATGATGATGATGGTGGTGATGATGGTGGTGATGATGATGATGGTGGTGATGATGGTGGTGATGATGATGATGGTGGTGATGATGGTGGTGATGATGATGATGGTGGTGATGATGGTGGTGATGATGATGATGGTGGTGATGATGGTGGTGATGATGATGATGGTGGTGATGATGGTGGTGATGATGATGATGGTGGTGATGATGGTGGTGATGATGGTGATGATAATGATGTGATGGTGATGATGGTGATGGTAATGATAAGGTGATGGTGATGATAATAATGTGATGGTGATGATGGTGATGGTGATGATAAGGTGATGGTGATGATAATGATGTGATGGTGATGATGGTGATGATAATGATGGTGATGATGGTGATGATGATGATGGTGGTGATGATGGTGGTGATGATGGTGGTGATGATGATGGGATGATGGTGATAAAGATGATGATGGGGATGGTGATGATGGTGCTGGTGGTGGTGATGATGGTGGTGATGATGATGGTGGTGGTGATGATAGTGGTGATGCTGGTGATGATGGTGGTGGTGGTAGTGGTGGTGGTAATGGTGATGATGATAGTGGTGATGGTGATAATGATGGTGGTAGTTGTGATGGTGATGGTAGTAGTGATGATGATGACAGTGATGATGGTGATGGTGGTGGTGATGGTGATGATGGTGGTGATGATGGTGGTGATGATGGTGATGATAATGATGTGATGATGATGATGGTGATGATAATGATGTGATGATGATGATGGTGATGATAATGATGTGATGATGATGATGGTGATGATAATGATGTGATGATGATGATGGTGATGATAATGATGTGATGATGATGATGGTGATGATAATGATGTGATGATGATGATGGTGATGATAATGATGTGATGATGATGATGGTGATGATAATGATGTGATGATGATGATGGTGATGATAATGATGTGATGATGATGATGGTGATGATAATGATGTGATGATGATGATGGTGATGATAATGATGTGATGATGATGATGGTGATGATAATGATGTGATGATGATGATGGTGATGATAATGATGTGATGATGATGATGGTGATGATAATGATGTGATGATGATGATGGTGATGATAATGATGTGATGATGATGATGGTGATGATAATGATGTGATGATGATGATGGTGATGATAATGATGTGATGATGATGATGGTGATGATAATGATGTGATGATGATGATGGTGATGATAATGATGTGATGATGATGATGGTGATGATAATGATGTGATGATGATGATGGTGATGATAATGATGTGATGATGATGATGGTGATGATAATGATGTGATGATGATGATGGTGATGATAATGATGTGATGATGATGATGGTGATGATAATGATGTGATGATGATGATGGTGATGATAATGATGTGATGATGATGATGGTGATGATAATGATGTGATGATGATGATGGTGATGATAATGATGTGATGATGATGATGGTGATGATAATGATGTGATGATGATGATGGTGATGATAATGATGTGATGATGATGATGGTGATGATAATGATGTGATGATGATGATGGTGATGATAATGATGTGATGATGATGATGGTGATGATAATGATGTGATGATGATGATGGTGATGATAATGATGTGATGATGATGATGGTGATGATAATGATGTGATGATGATGATGGTGATGATAATGATGTGATGATGATGATGGTGATGATAATGATGTGATGATGATGATGGTGATGATAATGATGTGATGGTGATGATGGTGATGATAATGATGTGATGGTGATGATGGTGATGGTAATGATAAGGTGATGGTGATGATAATGATGTGATGGTGGTGATGGTGATGGTAATGATAAGGTGATGGTGATGATAATGATGTGATGGTGATGGTGGTGATGGTGATGATAATGGTAATGGTGGTGATGAGTGGTCCCCTTATTTTTGGTCACATTAAAAGCCAGGTCTGCCTGTGCTTAGATGCATTATCTGTGTATTGGGACACACATGGTATGAGCACAGGTAGAGAGGAAAGGAGCCTTGGCCTCACCCAGGACAAGTATTTACTGATGAGCCAGCAGAATGTGGTGCTGAATGAATGGCCATTTCTAGGGACTCTGGTAATTTTGGTTGAATTCTCAGGTCAGCCTACCTGCCTGTAAGGGTAGGAGGCATAGAAGCCCCAGGATAGGAGGAGCCAGGGTCAGGGGAGAACCACGGGCTCGCCAGGCCCTGTTTGCTAAGGTGCACATAGTACACACCCACTTTACAGCGATGATGAGGACAGCTGTGCCCACAGGGCCCGAATACACCCCGTAGCCCCAGCGGTCATGGTAGGTCCGCACGGCGATAGTCAGGACACCCAGCATCACGAAGGTCGACCTCTGGGGCTCGTCAAAGTCAGCCAGAGCTGGGGAGAAACGCGGGAGCAGTGAGTAGCCTCCCTCCTGATCCTGGCTACGCCTCCACCCTCAGGGGCCACCTGGGTGTCCCCTCAGCCAGCAGGACCCAGAGGCTCAGCTTTGAATTTTGGACAGTTTTAGAGGAAATGGGGGATGCTCCTTCCCTGGAGCACAGTTGCTGGTGTCAAATGGTTCACAGCCCCGTTTCCGTAGAAGCCAGAGCTGGGGAGAAACGCGGGAGCAGTGAGTAGCCTCCCTCCTGATCTTGGCTACGCCTCCACCCTCAGGGGCCACCTGGGTGTCCCCTCAGCCAGCAGGACCCAGAGGCTCAGCTTTGAATTTTGGACAGTTTTAGAGGAAATGGGGGATGCTCCTTCCCTGGAGCACAGTTGCTGGTGTCAAATGGTTCACAGCCCCGTTTCCGTAGAAGACCACCATGCACATAGTGTGTTTGATCACTATCCCTTGGGAATGCTGGGATGCAAATATCGAGACCAGAGGGAAGATGTAAGTGGTGTACAGGACTGGGTCACGGGAAGGACCCTGAGGCAATGTAGCCCGCCTGCACCAGCAGCACCTCGCTTGTGCCAGCATCCGGGAGACCATGGTTGAGCT